CACTTAGCTCAGTAACCTTTCAAGAACGCATAAATATTTTCAGCCAATCACAATCGTCAAATAATCTTAGTGCAATTCGCACGGCGAATTCCATCCATCTATACATGTACGTCGGCAGATTTTACCTCAAGGATTAGTTCGGACCAGCGTAGCGTTGGCCAAACTTTACGGCTGGTAAATACCACCCTGGTATTTACCGCGGTATTTACCGGGTTTTTACCACTGCCATAAATGCCCAAAACTGGTATAAACTCAAAACGGTCAACATGCAAATCAGCTATACGTGCCTCGGACATCGAACTATACTGCTATTGATGCGTGGATGCCGCAGTTCGGTGGATTCCAGATGACTGTGGGAAAAACGCATGACTTCAAGAGCGGGGCGGCAGATGATTTGGCGAAACTCGGTCAGAATGGCAATCGACTCTTCTTTTTGCTTCCACCACTCTACTACAAATCTTTCACCAAGAAGACTCCTCAAACCATCAAACAGTATGCAATCCTTGTTCCGTATCCCGAGGTGTGTGCTTCAACGCTTCAATGACATCATCTTCTCTTTCATGGCCTACCAAGATATTACCAAGATGTTACTTCGTGATCTATTCGTCATCGGAATAACACACAATTAATTTTCATCCTGATAAATACAAAGTTATTAATATACAAACCATGGCGTACTCACCTGAACAATACCTCGCTAACAAAGAGCGGATCAAGGCAGCACAAAAGCGCTACTATCAGCGCACACGTGAAACTCGACTGTCGTATCAAAAGAGCTAAGCCCAAAACCGAACTTATTGATGACAAAGCCGAACCTAACAACGAAACCGAACTTAATTAAAAAAAAAAATTCTCAAATAAAAAGTCAATCCCAATATAGTCAATGACAATGGCTTAAAACCTCCAAAAAGGTATAACTCAAATATTTGAATTAATTAATTTCATAATATTTTGTAAATGACTAAGATATAAAGTCGATCCTGATACATGATCAAAATATTAAGTCATATCTACGAAGAAGAATATAGCCAAGCATATATAGGCAACATGTTTGCATACGAACTCGAAGGATTAAAGAGATTAAATATCCAAGCTATCAAATGGGGTAGTAGCTACCGTGTTAAGGTGCGTGGTAGAACGGGTAAGATGGTTTATGTAAGCAACGTTTCGCGCCCAATCAATCAGAGATTGGTAGCTAAGCAGTACAATGTTTAGATTGAAACCCTTGAGAAGCACTTGTCGCCTGACTTCAAGGCTGATCCTAAGTATCGTTTTTACAATGGTAATCACATGGAATCACACCTATATGAGGGTATCGAGGCTACTGATTTCTACGATAAGCTCGAGAACGTTCTTTCGAGCCAGGCAAGTGCTTTTAAGGTAAATATTGCTCTTGGGTACGAACTTGTAAGCAAGACCGATCCTGATGATACTCGCTATTTCTATCCGAATCTCGCTAACACTTATGTGTTCAATAAGCCTGTCGCTATCAACAGCAAGGCTGATATTCGAAAGAAGGTGATTTCGGAAATTCGGTCTATGGAGTTGGCTGACAAGCTGAACTACCCCAACTCTGGATATAAGCTGAAGGCGATCACTGCATTCAAAATTTTCGTCTACCATCGCGACCATGCCCTTGGGGATAGCGACGCTGTTATTCCTAAGATTATCTGCAAAAACAAGCATGTAATCAACTTCCCTAAGACCAACAACAAGTGCGACTTCCACTGTATCGCCTGGCATACATTCCAGAGCCCTAAGAAGGATCCTCGCAGAATTCAGGCTCAGGTGAAGGAGGCATTCAAGCGCTACTGCTCTTTCAAGGGGGTGAAGTATACGTTGAGTCTATTTAGAAGCTTCAAGCCTATTGACCTACTACAGCTCGATGAGGTTGAGGACTGCTTCCAGCTCGGTATTAACGTATATAGCATGGATGTAGCTTCCGGAAGCGTAGAATGCATTCGTAGGTTGGGCAAAGGGTATGAAGCTATGGATATTCTATCACACGAGAATCACGCTCTTTACATTAAGAACATCGATATGCTTCAGTCTAAGTATCAATGTCCTAAGTGTGAAATGGTTTTTGTCAGCGCTGAAAAGCTGAAAAATCACAAGAAAAATCAGTGTGAGCTTGTAAATATTGAGAGCTTCCCCACTGAGCCAACTATATACAAACCGGCTCAGAACACGATACGATCACTGCTTACGAAGTATTCCGTCAAGGATGCGGACCATTACATCGATCACTTCATAGTTTATGACTTTGAGGCCATTCTTAAGCCTACCGCGACTCAACACGGGGAGAATACTGTCTTCACGAACGAACACATTCCTGTGTCTGTATCCGTAGCTGATAGCT